GTGTGCCGAAACGGCCCGAGGCCGCCATGCGAACCCTGCCACTGGGGCCTTCGGTGGAGCTCCCGATTGGGCCACGATCCTCGTGAGGGGTCTGCCGACATGGCCCGAGGCCGCCGTGCGAACCCTGCCACTGACGCCTTGGGCCATGATCCTCGTGAGGGATGTGCCGAGATGACCCGAGGCCGCCATGCGAACCCTGCCACTGGGGCCTTCGGTGGAGCTCCCAATGGGGTCACGAAACGCAGTGCTGGGTGTGCCGACACAGAGACATGCGGAAGGCAAAGGCAAGGAGATGCTGATAGCGATGATGATGATGATGATGATGATGATGATGATGATGGTGATGATGATGATGATGATGAATGATGAATGATGATGATGATGTTGATGATGATGATGTTGATGCTGATGCTGATGTTGATGATGGTGATGATGATGATGAATGATGATGATGATGTTGATGATGATGATGATGATGTTGATGCTGATGCTGATGCTGATGATGATGCTGATGATGATGATGATGACGATGATAATGATGATGATGTTGATGCTGATGATGGTGATGATGATGCTGCTGATTATGTTACTGATGATATGGGTAATGATAATGATAATAATGATGATAATGATGATGATGATGATGGTGGTGGTGATGATGCTGATGATGATGATGATGATGATGGCGATGATGACGACGATGACGACGATGCTGATGACAACGATGATGGTGATGATGACGACGTTGATGATGGTGACGATGACGATATCGATGATGATAATGATGACGATGCCGATGACGATGACGATGACGATCATGATGATGATGATGATGATGATGATGATGAGAGGAGGAGGGAGGGGGCAGTCACCGAGGAGGAGGAGGAGTGAATGTCCGCCTCGATCAACTTAGAAAAAATGTGCAAATATTATGTAAAACCCATGCGCAACTTATGAACACTTATGAACCACGTATGGAAACTTATGTTGGGTTCACGGGAACTTGACCGACATATGACCTTGTTGTCGCCCGTAAGTGCAACAACCTTGTTGCAAGTAATGTTGTAAGCAAAGAAGAGGCAACATCCGCGAAGTGGGAGCACCTTGGGCCAGGGGCATGTTAAGGCCCAGTAAAGCGACCGGCGTGCTGACCCCCCCCCCCTTCGCGACAGGAGGTGCGTCGCGCATTCGTCGCCCGTGCGTCGGCCGCCGAAAAGGCCAGCCGCCCTCTCGAACGCGCACGTCGCCCTCGCAAGGGGGCACTTTGGTGAGTGCGTCGCCAGCGCGGCGGACGCCCACGGGGCGGATCGCACGCGCGTCGCCCTCTCCACGGCCGCTTAAAAAGGCTGATCGCCTTCGGGAAAAAGAAAGTCGCCCACGCTGCGGCCCTCTTGGCGAGAAGAAGGCGGCCGCTGGGCTACCTCGGCAGATCTGCAAATCCCACTAACATTACACATTCAGCGATGCTGCTGAACGCAGCCCGGCGATAGGCCAGCAGGTCCCCCCAGCCGCCGCCACAGCCGCCGCAACCGCCGCCAGCGCCAAAACTACCGCCGCCACGATCACCACAAACGGATGCGACCGCAACCACATCCACCGCGACGATTACGACCAACACCATTTACCGCCATCATCACCACCACGACCACCACGCTTCTCGCGACCACCACAACGACCGACACCAGCACGATCACCGACGTGACCACCACCAGCCCGCCCACCACCAGCGGCACGACCGCCGCCAACGCGACCAAGGCGACGAACGCGACCACGACCATGATCACCAACATGACCATTACAGAAGCACCCGCCCACTCCGTCCCTCCCCCCGCCCCCTACACCTGTCGGGCCGCCCTTGCCGCCGCGCCCGCCTCGCGCCCCTGCCCCTCCCCCCTCCTTTTCTCCTCGTGATCTTCCTCCTCCACCGCCAGCGGCGGGGCCGTTCGCGGAAGGCGGGGGCGCCGCTCGCGGTGACGCGCCGCGGCCGTGGAAGGGGGGCCGAAGGAGAAAAGAGAATGAAGAGGGGCACGGGGTGGCAAGGGAAAAAAAAAACAGACGAGAGAGGAGGGGGGAGGCACTGACAGAGGGAGGCTGGTAGAAAGGAGGAAAAGAAAGGGAGGAGAGAGGGGGGCGAGGCAGGAGAGAGGACGAAGGAGGAGGAGGAATGACAAAAGAGGAGGGACGACGAGGAAGGAAAAGGGAAATCACAGGGGCAAGCACCGCCCTTCCTGGCGCAATGGATGGCGCAGCCGCCGCCACTTGTGAACAGCGCAAGCACGGCGGGCCGACGGCCGTTGCGCATCGCTGCTCGGAGAAATGTCAGGGGCGGGCAAAGTCGCGCCTGCGTCGCGCATGCGTCGCGCGTGCGTCGCGCGTGCGTCGCGCGTGCGTCGCGCGTGCGTCGCGCGTGCGTCGCGCGTGCGTCGCGCGCGTGGCGCGTGCGTCGCGCGTGCGTCGCGCGGGTCGATCGTGCGTCGCGCGCCGGCAGGGGTGCGTCGCGCGCGGGTCGGGGTGCGTCGCGCGCGCGTCGCGCGCGCGTCGCGCGTGCGTCGCGCGGGCGTCGCGCGGGTCGTTCGCGCGTCGCGCGCAGGTCGCGCGCGAATCGCTCGAAGGGCGCCGTGGACTCCTGACGGCATGTGAACTGCACGGCCCGCTGGCGAAACAATCAAGGGATGCGCGCGGCAATCGTAGAAATAGCGAGACACGCACGTGATAACTACGAACGCGAGGAGACCAAGAGACGACATGGAGATGCAGCGCGCACGGACTAATCCATTTCAAGCGCACGCCCCGTCAGATGTTGAACATCGGTCCGTCGCTGCAGCAATTTGGCGACGTCTCGCCCGCCGATGCATTGGGGGGGAAAAGAAGATGGAAGTGAGGCGAGGGAAGGGCGGGCGGAAATGGGAACGGACGGGCGAGGAGGGGGCGCGCGGGGGCGGCGCAGCGGCGGCGGGAGCGATGGAAGGCGATCGAAATGGGGGCGGCGGGAGCGAGGAGGGCGAGAAGAAGTTCCAGGAGGGTGGAAGGACAACGGGGGGCGAGTAGGGAGGCGGACAGGACGGCAGCCTGACATAAAAGAACTGAATACAAATTTCGTAAACGGGACAAAACGCGCAGCGCGTTGGACGAGGGGAAGAGGAAGGAAGAGGGGGGGGCAGGAGGATTGGAGCGAAACGACATGGGGGTGCGGGGCGCGATGCGACGGGGCGAAGTGGCGCCGCGTCGCGCGACGCGACGTCACCCCCACCGGGGCGCGACACGCACAGCCCCCAATCAACGCGAGGCGTATTCGTCCTCAGCAACGGTTGGCGCCCCCGACAATGAGCACCAGCAAATCCTCTTGCGCCGAATTGGGAACAGAACGCGTTGGTGGACCGTCGAACTAGGAGTGCGCCGCGCCCGCCAAAATGGCTGCTGGTGCACGGGCGTCGGAAACCTATATATCGCCAGAGCAATTCCGAAGTCGCGCCATATGTCGCCCACGCACTCTGGGAGGCCGGGATTCGGGACAGAGACGCAAACCAGGGCCGGCGCACGGGCGACGCTCGGGCGACGCACTGAACGAAAACTTGAAGGGGGGGGGTGGTCGCTTCACTGGGCCTTAACACAGGGGCACCTTGAGCAGCCTCCAAACTCGGACTGGCCCCAGCTTCGGATTGACAGGTGTCCGCCCCCATCCGTCACGCTTGCGGGTCCAAACCTGAGGGGCAACGTCAGGGGCTGCCCAACTCAGGGAGGGAGACATCGACCTGGAATCGCGATATCTCGCCGATAGATCGGCGATAGGCCCCCGATAGCAAAGCCGCACGTTCGTGGGCGGGGTGGGCTTGAAAGACCCGATTGGCGAAGAGTGAGCGATTGGGGGTCGATGAGCCCCTCCCTCCCGAAGGTTGCCCCTGATCTCTGTTCCACTTGTGGCCCCAAACCGCCCTTCTCCCGACAGGTCGACTGAAAATCGCTGCTGGACAATCAAGAATCATCAGCAAGGCAATTCGCTTCCCATCGAGTCGCTCAACATTACCGCATTCGTTCGTGCCACGTTCCTCCGTTGCACTCCTTCGTCCAAATTTCCCCCATGTACGAATATATATATATATATATATATATATATATATACACACATATACATATTTAACTATATACACTTACAAACATATCTATATACTCGGGTTGTTCCATGAAACTTCCTGACAAACGCTCAACATTGATGGACCCGCAACAGATTTCCGCGGCAGAGGCCTGAGGCTTGGACCAACTTGGTAAGTGAAGATTTCGAGGGCTGATCACCTTCTCGCTCTTCGGCAACACGTGCAGGCCCCTTGTGAGCCATGGGCCACATCCTGCACAAACTGCTTTCCAAGTGGAAGCGGATGGGAGTTCTGTGCTGGGTGGGTCCCGACAAGATCGGTCAAGATGGGAAGGGGCCAGGGCCAATCCGCTCAAAATCGGTCCACGGACCCCTCCTGGGGTCGCAACTGACCAATTATTCGAGCCGAATCCAGCCGTGGCGAGGAGGGGGGCCCCCTTTCCCCTCTTTTCCCAGATCACCCAGTACCGAACATTTCCGGTAACACTTTGGACGAACATTTCCCGTCGCGACCTTCGCTGGTGAATTTCGGTAACGAGCGAGCCGTCGACATCCTCAAAAAGAAGTCGCTAGGATCCCGACGCGGCGTCTCCCCGCTACCGAAAGTCGACTTCCTCCGGCCGCGACCGAAAGTCGGCGCGGCCGAGCCCCGTGACCGAAAAGTCCTGGTCGCGGATCATGTGTGTTCTTCTGGGCAGAGCGAACTAGTACTGGGCCACCCTGGCCTGCTCCAACTCTCCAGTCCGAATCCACGGTGGTCCTCCAGCCCGCGGGGGGCCAGCGGGGGCTGCGCTGGCTTCTTCAGTCGGCCATCCCGGAGGCTGTCCGAGGAAGAAGGAGGAGCAGGAGGCGGAGGACGTGGAGGAAGACGAGAAACAGTTGGACGGTGGTGGCACCCACAAGCCGACGCCTGCTTATGCCGAGGCTCGGTGCGCGAGAAGACGGCGCCCTCCACGTGCCGCTCGGCCATAATGTGCTCCAGCACCCTGCCCTCCCCCGGGGAGCAGGACCGATCGCGGGCGACAGTGAAATCAGCATGGCAGGCGAGGGCCCAACAAAGAAGAACCATCTAGAGGAACAAGCAATGCATAAACTGAAATTTTCGGAGGAACGCGCGGATCTTTAAGATCGTTGCTGGACCCCCTAGGAGTCCTCCTCCTCATGCCTCCTCCTCACGCCTCCTCCTCCTCATCATCGTCCTCATGCCTCCTCCTCCCCCTCCTCCTCCTCCTCCTCCTCCTCCTGTTCCTTTTCCTCCTTCTCCTCCTCCTCCTCCTCCTCCTCCTCCTCCTCCTCCTCCTCCCCCTCCCCCTCCTCCTCCCCATGCCTCCCGCTAGAGATTTCCTCTCGGCTCAACCCTCCTGAACCCAAAAGTGACGACAGGTAATGGCATTTGAATTGTCGCCTTGGATTACGGCCTCCCGCTCGAGACGGGCCTCAGGAACTAAACAAATGGCAACAGTTACAAGTTGTTGGATGACCGCGTCGGATTACTAACAAGACGTGTGGGCCCAATCGGGTTGGGCCTCCCGCTGAAAGCTTCGCTACGATTCGCTCAGACATACGGCTCCCGCTCGACACATCCTTTCGACTCAAGCCACACGAGCCCAGAAGTGGCGACACTTACTGGATGACCGCCTCGGATTAATCCGCCGACCCTGTCGGCGTGTGCGGGGTGTCTGTCTGGCCCCGTCGACAGGGGACCTTCTTTCGCCCCCTCCTTCCCATCCTCCTCTCCCGTCGGGGGAGACAGAGAGAGCGAGAGAGAGAGAGCACCCTTCATCGTTCATCGTTCGCAGCTTGAGGGAATTCCATCCACGTCGCCATTACGTCAAAGGGAAGCCCCTTCCCTTTGTCCTTTCCCCGGCGAGGGAAGGAAGGCTCCGGGGGGGGGGGGTCAGATTCGCATCGCGTCTGGGGGTCCTCCTCTCCCACGCCTGTCCTTCTCCGGCGCGCCGGTCCTCCTCGGATCCTCCTCCCCAGGTAGGGAGGAGTCCCAACGGGGGGGGGGAGTCAGATACGCATCCGTCCCAGGGGGTTTTCCTCCCCCCCCCTCCCTTCTCCCACGCCACTCCTCCTCTGGTCCACCTCCCCAGGGGGAGAAGGCCCAGGGGGGAGTCGTTTTCCTCAATTACTTCTTCTTGTGGATAACTCCTCCCTGTCGCACCCCGAGGCTAATTTTTGGGGCGGGCTGGGCGTTTCGCTTGAGACTTCCTCACCATGTATGACTCTAAGACTAAAAAATGGCAACAGTTTCACAGATAGAGGGCGGGTCGTTTTCAAAATGTGGCTCTCGCCTTAGCGCCGCGCACATTCGTTTGCAACACTTGCAAGAGCTTCACGGATTGAGGGCGGGTCGTTTTCAAAATGTGGTTCTCGCTTTAGCGCCGCGCGCAATCGTTTCAAAAATGTGCCAAAGGTTCACGGATTGAGGGCGGGTGCTTGTCAGAATGTGGCTCTCGCCTTAGCGCCGCGAACATTCGCTTCCACAAATTACAAAAACTCCACGGATTGAGGGCTCTCGCCTTAGCGCCGCGCACAATCAATTAAAAATGTGCAAGACTCTCGCGGATTGAGGGCGGGTGGTTTTCAAAATGTGGCTCTCGCCTTAGCGTCGCGTACATTCTTTTCTAAACACGTGCAAATGCTTCACGGATTGAGGGCGGCTCCTTTTCAAAATGTTGCTCTCGCCGTAGCGCCGCGCACAGTCGTATTTAAAATTTGTCAGAGCTTCACGGATTGAGGACGGGTCGTTTTCTAAATGTGGCTCTCGCCTTAGCGGTGCGCACACTCTTGTTAAACATTTGCCAGAACTTCACGGACTCCCGTGATCAACGTACCAGACATGGTGTTTTAAAAAGATTTAGGACTATGCGGGCGCAACAATTGTGTTGAGTCGCTGTGTGGGAATCCCAATTACGCTACCGAGGAACTCCACATACGTAATGTAAGTATTATGTGTTTGCCGATCGTTATATCAGATGCGCAACCCTCCGTTCTGAACCCTCGTCACGAATGTTTCCCTATTTGTCATCCAACACACCGTTGCTTGAACCTCCTCCCTCCTCCCCGCCTTCTGCCCTCCTCCATCGAAGAAAGACTCGACGTCGTCACCGAGGTCACCACGCCCGCCGCGCTTTGGGGGCCTGATATAGATATGTCGGGAAATGCCACGCCTGCCGTGCCCTGCGCGCCTGCAACGCATAGAGACCGCACGCCTGCGCACACCCTCTAGCGTCGAGAGATCGCTTCGCCCGCCGTGCCCTGCGCGCCCGCAACGCACAGAGACCACCGCCTCTATGCACCTCCCTTGGTGTCGAGGAAAATGATAAGCCTGCCGTGCCCTGCGCGCCTGCAACGCATAGAAGCCGAACCCCCGGTGCACCCCCTCCTGGTGTCGAGAAAATGGCACGGTTGCTGCGCCGTGCGAGCCTGCAACGGATAGAGACCGCACCCCCCTGCGCACCCCCTCTGTTATCGAGGCGTTGCCACGCCTGCCGCGCCCTGCACGCCTGAAACGCATAGAGGCCGCACCTCTTGCGCACACCCTCTGGCGTCGAGAAAATGCTACGCCCGCGGTGCCTGACGCGCGTGCAACGCGTAGAGACCGCACCCCGAGTAAACCCCCTCTGGAGTCGCTGGCGGGCCCTGCGCGCCTGCAGCGCATAGAGAGCGCATCCCCTGCGCACCCTCCAGGTGTCGAGAAAATGCCGCGCCTGCCGTGCCCTGCGCGCCAGCAACGCATAGAGACCGCCCCCCCGCACAGCGCCTCTGTTATCGGAACATTGCCACGCCTGCCGCGCCCTGCGCGCCTGCAGCGCATAGAGACCACACATCCTGCGCACACCCTCTGGCGTCGGGAATGTGCTATGCCAGCCGTGCCCTGCGCGCCTGCAACGCATAGAGGCCGCACCCCCAGTCCACCCCCTCTGGCGTCGAGAATTCCAACGCGCGCCGTGCGCTGCGCGCCTGCAACGCATAGAGACCGCACCCCCTGCGCACCCTTCTGGCATCAAGAAAGTGCCGCGCCTGCCGTGCCCTGCGCGCCTGCAACGCATAGAGACCGCACCCCCTGCGCACCGTCTTGGCGTCAAGAAAGTGCCGCGCCCGCCGTGCCCTGCGCGCCCGCAACGCATAGAGACGCACCCCCAGTCCACCCCCTCTGGTATCGAGAAAGTGACACGCCTGTTGCGCCGTGCGAGCCTGTAACAGATAGGGACCGCACCCCCCACGCACCCCCTCTGTTATCGAGACATTGCCACGCCTGCCGCCGTTGTGCTCAGCTGCGTCTCTGTACTGAGCTGAGCTGTGTTTGCCCACGCGCACATGTACATGCAAGCCCGCACACCGTGCACGTGGTATGTTGAACTGTGCTGAGCTGTGTTGCGAGCTGTGCCGTGGAGGAGGGCAGGAAGGAGGAAGGAGGGAGGTGAGGGAGGAGACGCGGGTGCGACGCGGCAGGGTAAAAAACCAGATCCCCACGAAGATGTGGGGAAGAACCCCACGAAACATGTGGGGAACTTACAGTTCTCCCACGTCTGCCGTGCCCTGCGCACCTGCAACGCATAGAGACCGCACCCCTGTGCACCCTCCAGGTGTCGAGCAAATGCCGCGCCTGCCGTGCCCTGCGCGCCTGCAACGCATAGAAGCCGAACCCCATGTGCACCCCCTCTGGTGTCGAGAGTTCCCACGCCTGCCGCGCCCTGCGCGCCTGCAACGCATAGAGACCGCACCCCCTGCGCACCTTTCTGTTGTCGCGAAAGTGCCGCGCCTGCCGTGCCCTGCGCGCCTGCAACGCACAGAGACCGCACCCCCTTGTGCACCCACTCTGGTGTCGAGAATTCCCACGCCTGCCGCGCCCTGCGCGCCTGCAACGCATAGAGACCGCACCCCCTGCGCACCCTCCTGGTGTCGAGAAAGTGCTGCACCTGCCGTGCCCTGCGCGCCTGCAACGCATAGAGACCGCACCCGATGTGCACCCCCTCTGGTGTCGAGAAAGTGCCGCGCCTGCTAGGCCCTGCGACATTGGCGCGTATAGGGACCGCGGTGAGAGACCACCCCGTGCGCACCCCCTCTGGTGTCGAGAAAGTGCCACGCCTGCTAGGCCCTGCGACATTGGCGCGTATAGGGACCGCGGTGAGAGACCACCCTGTGCGCACCCCCTTCTGGTGTCGAGAAAGTGCCACGCCTGCTAGGCTTGCTGTGCTGTGTTGTGCTGTGCTGCGGTGTGCTGTACTGTGCTGTGCTGTGCTGTGTTGTGCTGTGCTGCGGTGTGATGTACTGTACTGTGCTGTGCTGTGCTGTGCTGTGCTGTGCTGTGCTGCGTTGAGCTGTGCTGTGCTGTGCTGTGCTGTGCTGTACTGTGCTCTGCTGTGCTGTGCTGTGCAGGTGTGCTGTGCTGTGTGTCTGTGTGTATGTGTTTGTGTCGGTGTGCCTGTGTATGTATGTATGTATGTATGTATGTATGTATGTATGTCTGTCTGTATGTATGTATGTTTGTATGTATGTATGTATGTATGTATGTATGTATGTATGTATGTATGTATGTATGTCACGTCTGCCACGCTTTGCGGGAGAGGGAGGTGTGTGCGGGTGTGAGACGCGGGTGAGACGCGGCAGGGAAGAAAACCAGAACCCCACAAAACATGTGGGGAAACCAGAACCACCGCAGCAGTCAATATGATACGTGGCGTTGAAATCCCGAGAACAATGCTTTGGCACGCTTCAGGATCTTCAAACTGTTGTCTTCCAACGAGGCATTTCCCTCCATGGAAATGAACCGTTTGAAACTCGTGGGTTTCCACTGGTCCTCCTCCTCCTCCTCCTCCTCCTCCTCCTCCTCCTCCTCCGGCGGCACCAACCATCAGGCCTTCACGATAACATGAAGTGGGGGTCCCGTAAGGAGGGGGTTCCCACTCGAGACTTCGTCGCCATTCACTCACTGTCGAGACTCCCCGGGGCCACCAATGAGGGCCGCCAGTAGACAAGTAAACATGCAACGTCACAATGCTGCTTCTCCTCCTGACTTCCCTTATGAATTTCCCAGCAATGCAGCCAAAATCAGCCAACCATGGTGCGGCTCATCCGTCAAACATGTTGGTCCTCCGCCTCCTCCGCCTCTTCCCCCCACAGGCCCCGTGAGTCCTTGTCTTGTCCGCGTCGGGGAGGTCGTCGAAGGCCTCCCACATCGATCCGCGCACGCTTCAAGGGCTCTTCAAATCTCGCACCACATGCTGCATGATCACGCACACAAAGAGGGCCCTTCGGAATGCTTGGAATCTCCGCTTCGGGCCTGGCACCCCGTGCTCTTGCTACCCGCACGGGGTCCCCCTTTCGGCCTCATCCGCAGTTTCCGGCACCTCTGGAGGCCCTGTCGGAAACCTCCAAAGCCGTTTTCAATACTGTGTGGGTCCCCTTTGGCCGTCTTGGCTCCCTCTAACACCCTAATCTGGTCACGTTGCCTTTGTTTCATTATCATGGTACAGTGTAAGTATAACATTACTGTTATGTTTAATAGTACTGTTCATCTATTGTTGATAGCAGTCGCCTTATGATTATTTCTTATGCTTATTCGTATCAATAGTGATCTTTCCTTCGTAGCACAATTAATGTTATTAGTGCCTTCGTGTATTGAATATTGTGACTATTATTCGTATGATGATTCGTATTCGTCGCCCTCTGAATGGTAAAAGAATCATTATGTTAGCGGCGCGCACAAAGGGGTATGAGGAAAGGGGAAGGCTTCTTAGAAGGAGGCTGCTTCATAGAAGGCGTCAGCCCGCGTCTAAGAAGCCTTCCCCCTCCCCCTACCCCTCTGCACGTAGCTGTAAATGCACTGCTGGCGAGCGGGTGCGGGTAAAACTGGGAGGGCTGCACTTGGATCAGAATATCACTCTGGGCAAGCCTCAAGAATTCCTTTCAGGACGCTCCACGTGGACACATACAAAAGCCGCACCGAACCCGCAGAATCATCACGGCCCAGACGTTGGCCAGTCAACGTAAGAGTAAGCGGCAAATGAATGTATACCAAAGCGGCAAGTCCAGCACAACCTACCAATTACACTACACCATTCGCAATTAAAGCTGTTGCGAGCACTGACGATTGATATTGGGGAGATTCGCACAAGGTCCCCACCGCATGAATGCACATGTTATCTTTTGGAGAGCGGCCAGCGTCTTGCCAAAATTGTCCAGGCGACCGCGGTTTCGGCCCCCATTCTCTGGTGCCCAGAGCACCCCACCAACCCCGCAGTCTTCCCAGACCTCGTCCCTCCTCCGTCACTACTTCACGTATCACACTTCATCGCGTCATCTCCTCACCACTTCTCTGCCAAACTGGTAGCGAATCGCCGATTCATACGAATCATCCGCCACCGCTCATGCAGCGGTTGGTGCACGTCGGGCCCACTGGACCCTTTCGCCCCTTGAGAAGCAATAACTGTAAGGCCCCCCGACGCATCGAGCCCAGGATGCGCTCCTTCCTGTGACCAAGTCCCTGCGCGTTTGGCCATCCAGGCAGAAAGCGGTCCCGAATACAAAGTCCAGGAGGGGCTTCCGTGGCCCCTCCCCCCTTCCTCCCCCCAAAAAACTCCCCCCCGCCCACACCCGCCCCAGCGCGGTGACGGAATCGCGCGGCAGCGCAACTGGATAACGGAGACTTCCGACACCTAAACCTGTCCCAACCATGCCCCTGGGCACCGGCGCATGCTACGGAGGTCGTAGAAAGAAGATCAAGAAACACGATTCCTCTGCAAAAAAGTTTCTTCCGCGCGACTCACACAAGAACGCCGACAAAGTGATGGAACACGGTGCAACTGAACTACTATAATCGCCCCAGCGGGGCCAGGCATTGCATGGTGAGAACGCCTGGGCACATCAGGGACGCAGCACAAACTAGCTTGCCGTGGTAGAGCTTATGTACCAAAACGTGTCCTAGGAGACGAGGCTAAGTGGCCGAGTCAGTGTCAGAAGGGAAATAAAAAACATTCATTCGAGCAGCAGGAGCCGTACAAGACGCAAAGGAGGCGTGCTGAATTGACTGCCAGAGCCGCTGAGGAGAAGGCTCAAAGTGGGAACGCTTCCGCAGGCAGAAGCCGCGGAGAGAAGGAGGTCGACACACGAGGTGCAGTAACTAAGCAGCGGGCAAAAGAGGGAGATACGAAAATCAAAGAGGAGTCAGAATGAGAAGTTCCTCAAAAGACCGGCAGTGCCCCCCCCACGCACCATGGAAACACCAAATAGGCTGCCAGGAGCCTGCCGATGCGCCCTTCGATTGGTCGCTGGAAGCATCACAATAACCGTTCAAAGATGCTATCCGCAAATGCCAGCGAGTCGCTTCGACGGACCACACGCCATCAGGGCACGTTCAGTAGGCGAGCAAACACCGTTACCAGCCTGATCTGGGCAGCCAGCCACGAGCACTAAACCATGGAAGATTGATCGTGCACTTGAGGCGGGCGTGATGCAGAGCTGTCCCGCATGGCCGCGATTGCGATGGCACGCTGGCAGTGCGTCGGCGTGTGTCGAGCTCCGTTCATTACCCTTACCGCTTAATGGGGAGCGGCTTCGCGAGGGTCGCCTCTGGGCGGTGACTTGGATGCCGAGGGAATGTTCGCATGGAGTTCATGCCGCTTGCCGGGTTGCGGCATGGCTGGCGCGATTGCTGGCACATTCATCGGTTGAATGATCGTCTCTGTGCCTGCCTCCCCAGTGTATGTGCTTCGCACTGCGCACTAGTGTACCATAATTCCCCATGTCAAGCTAATCATGGCAATCGTGCCTCCAATGTGGGCACAACACCGTGGAACTAGCGAAAACACTGAGGCGTAGTGAAAAGCAGTGCAAAGCATTGCAAAGCACCACAGGTCAACAGAAGGGACTGCCGAGCAGTGCAGAGCAAAGCAGCGACAAGCAACGCAATGCGAATCAAAGACATCGAAACAACTCGAGGCAATGCAAATCCGTGCATTCCATACGAATACATTACAAAGCAATGCAACTCAGCACCAAACAACGTAGAGAAACGCAAAACAATGAAAAGCAATGCAAACAAACGCAAAGAGATGAAAAGAAACGCAAAATAATTACGCTACCGAGGAACCCCACATACTAATATGATGGCTGGAGAGATTACAGCTGAAGTGAAGCATGTGAGAATGATGTTGGTGGCCGTTGCCCCGCCGATACCGCTGTGCCCTGGACGACCGTCACGGATAGCGGCCGCGGTGAGAGACCACCCCCTGCGCACCCCCTTATGGTGTCGAGAATATGCCATGCCTGCTGTGCCCTGGACGACCGTCACAGATAGCGGCTGCGGTGAGAGACCACCCCCTGCGCACCCCTTATGGTGTCGAGAATATGCCATGCCTGCTGTGCCCTGGACGACCGTCACGGATAGCGGCCGCGGTGAGAGACCACCCCCTGCGCACCCCCTATGGTGTCGAGAATATGCCATGCCTGCTGTGCCCTGGACGACTGTCACGGATAGCGGCCGCGGTGAGAGACCACCCCCTGAGCACCCCCTTATGGTGTCGAGAATATGCCATGCCTGCTGTGCCCTGGACGACCGTCACGGATAGCGGCCGCGGTGAGAGACAACCCCCTGCGCACCCCCTATGGTGTCGAGAATATGCCATGCCTGCTGTGCCCTGGACGACCGTCACGGATAGCGGCCGCGGTGAGAGACCACCCCCTGGGCACACCCTCTGGTGTCGAAAATATGCCATGCCTGCTTTGCCCTGGACGACCGTCACGGATAGCGGCCGCGGTGAGAGACCACCCCCTGCGCACCTCCCATGGTGTCGAGAATATGCCATGCCTGCTGTGCCCTGGACGACCGGCACGGATAGCGGCCGCGGTGAGAGACCACCCATTGCGCACCCCCTATACGCTGTCGGATAATATGCTAACCTTCTCGATCACTGGCATGTGTCCCTGGACGTACCGTCACGGATAGCACGGCCGCGCGGTAAGAGACCACCCCTTGCGCACCCCCTACGCTGTCGAGAATAGCCATGCTCTGCTGTGCCAGGGGAACGACGAGTCACGGATAGACGGCCGGGTGAGAGACACCCCCTGCGGCACCCCTTATGGTGTCGTGAATATGCCATGCCTGCTGTGCCCTGGACGACCGTCACGGATAGCGGCCGCGGTGAGAGACCACCCCCTGCGCACCCCCTTATGGTGTCTAGAATATGCCATGCCTGTTGTGCCCTGGACGACCGTCACGGATAGCGGCCGCGGTAAGAGACCACCCCTTGCGCACCCCCTACGCTGTCGAGAATATGCCATGCCTGCTGTGCCCGGGACGACTGTCACGGATAGCGGCCGCGGTGAGAGACCACCCCCTGCGCACCCCTATGGTGTCGAGAACATGCCATGCCTGCTTGTGCCCTGGACGACCGTCACGGATGGCGGCCGCGGTGAGAGACCACCCCTTGCGCACCCCTATGGTGTCGAGAATATGCCATGCCTGCTGTGCCCTGGGCGACCGTCACGGATAGCGGCCGCGGTGAGAGACCACCCCCTTGCGCACCCCCTATGGTGTCGAGAATATGCCATGCCTGCTGTGCCCTGGACGACCGTCACGGATGGCGGCCGCGGTGAGAGACCACCCCTTGCGCACCCCTATGGTGTCGAGAATATGCCATGCCTGCTGTGCCCTGGACGACCGTCACGGATAGCGGCCGCGGTGAGAGACCAGCCCCTACGCACCCCCTATGTGGTGTCGAGATTAGGCCATGCCTGCTGTGCCCGGGACCGACCGTCACGGAGCGGGCCGGGGTAAGAGGAACCACCCCTTTGCGCCACCCCCTACGCTGTCGATAATATGCCATGCCTGCTGTGCCTGGACGACCGTCACGGATAGCGGCCGCGGTAAGAGACCACCCCCTGCGCACCCCCTATGGTGTCGAGAATATGCCATGCCTGCTGTGCCTGGGCGACCGTCACGGATAGCGGCCGCGGTAAGAGACCACCCCCTGCGCACCCCCTACGCTGTCGAGAATATGCCATGCCTGCTGTGCCCGGGACGACCGTCACGGATAGCGGCCGCGGTGAGAGACCACCCCTTGCGCACCCCTATGGTGTCGAGAATATGCCATGCCTGCTGTGCCTTGGACGACCGTCACGGATAGCGCCCGCCGTGAGAGACCAGCCCCTACGCACCCCCTACTCTGCTGT